GGGATGAACGTGACGGGAAATAAGAACGGAGCGAGTGGCGTCCGGAAATTACAGGGTCTGCACCCTCTATCCTTCCCTAGGCAGGGTAGGTATAGTCGCTACACCATTGGCTAACTTCGCATTCTCAAAGAAACCTGAACCTCTCAGACGTCGAAGTGCTCGAGCTTATACAGTCTTAGCCAGGAAGCCACTATTACAAGATCCTAAAGCCATTACACCGGGAACCAACAGGAGTTTGGCTATTCGGCCGAAGACTCTGAATGATCCTCTGGTGTATTTTCCAGAATGACTGACCCCGCGGTCCCGCAGTGCAGCCACGTGTCGCGGATCCTCCTTCACCCTGAAGACCTGGACCATCCAAGTATCCAGGTTGAAACTTGTATTCCGCACGTGGTTCAGCGCCGATTCATCAAAAGGACATTTTCCCTCTGCCTATACCCCGAGAGCGGGAAGGAGTCGCGGAAGAGGAATCACACCCTGGACCCACGACATGGGAACCTGGCCATCTTGGACCTTTCTCTTTTTTCCCCTCTTTTTCCTTTAAAGACACCCTGCCGGAGATTGGACCCTGTCACCGAGCCAAGAAACCATCCCTCTCGTGGCCTCTTGGCCTCCTTTGCTCCACTACCAGGGAACACCCAAGACGCTCACGATGTCCTTGCGTCCTCTGCTTCCTCTTTCCACGAGTTTCGGAAATGTCATTGCCGGAGGATTTTCAACCCCCTTTCGTCTCTTAAGTTTCCCATAGCATTCGTATGGCTATACGTTCTTAAAAAGACGCTCGCCTAAAAATCCGCCCATAGGATGCGAATTCTCGCGTGTTATTCAACCCTTAGAACATTCTAGAAACTCCGAGAAGACGAGCCTTGATAATACAGCAACACCCTCCGCGAGCCACAAATCCAGCCCCAGGATGTCCATATAGCCCCAGCAGTCAAACCTCACTTCCTCCAGGTTACAGACCACGCACGCAACCGCTCTTCATCAAGGGTAGCAGGTCTGCTAGGATATTAGTAGCGATCGCATCAAATTGAAGATCAACCTATCCAGTAACATCCCTTCGACATCTAGGAATATCCAGTTCAGCTATAGCTCATCCAATCCTCCTCTCTCGCCGGCCTGTCTCGTCGATGGCGGGACACTCCCAGTCCTGGGAATTAACCCTTATTATTTCTTAAGCAAAGTAACCACCCCTCCGCAACCCCATCAACCCTGTCACGGTTAACGAACGCACAGAGCGTCTAGGCGAACAACGGATCCACTTTGAAACAGACTATAAGTTATGGGGCTTTCAGCGTCGGTTATGAGGGCACTACACGCAAAATGAGCTTCAAATATTCCAATACGCCCTTTACTACCCTTTGTCCATTTATGAGCCTTATGAGTTTTGTGAACCCGGCATTATTGACCAGAGTCATCGAGTAGGTACTGGCATCGCTCGCATGCAGCAGGGAGGGTCGAGCGTGTTCGATTCCGATACACGGACGAGGGGGAGGAGAAGGAGGGGGGGGTGGGTTGGATGTTGGGGGAGGGAAATAAAATTTTTTTTCAGACCCCTCATAACTTAATTAATAGCAAACACGAGGCAGAATAATTTCTTCGACAGGGTTCAAAGTTCAAGGGTTGAGTCGGCTTGATCTTGCAGACAGGTTACAGGGTATATACCCGTAAGAGGTACTGGCTGCTGTAGCGACGGTAAACGTCTTACGGTACCGGCAGTGGCTTTTAAGACAGACGTAAAATACGTTGAGGTAGAAAGGTTTACGCGGAAGGCGCACGTGTTCTTCTAGAAGGAGTTCAGGAGGTCACAGTAAACTCCTGAAGGATCGATCCATTGGGCGAGTCGAGTGTACGGTACGTACCTGGGAGAGTGGCAGAGGCCTGAATAACTCAAGGGATGCATTTGCCACCCCTGCTGCAACATCCTCCCCCTGCTATCAAGCCGCGTTCATCTAACGAGCTCGCGAAAATAAATAACGCGTCTGGTGGCAACCCCCGAAGACATTGATGGCACGAGTGGGTTCAGGAAAGTCAACAAGGGGATGCTCGGTGTTTCGAGGGGGTGAAGGGGGGGGGGTTGGTTTCGATGAGACGCGCCGCAGTCAGTGGCCCCTAGCGTGCAATTTGACAAATTAATATCGGGGGGTGGGAAAAGGCAAAAAAAAAAAGGTAATCTCACGCAAGACAGGGAGAGAGATTGGTGGAGTTGATACAGTGCGAGAATGAGAGAGTTGGAGAGAAATAAATGTGTGATAGAGGGGGTGACGTGAGAGTGGGGGCAAGAGGAGAAACAAGTAGCAGAAGAAGCAATGGCCTCAGGGCCGTAGCACAGCCAGTGCTCGCGAGGGTGAGGGCACATCCGGGCCCCGGATGGGCCACATTAAATATAAACAGCCTCAGGGTAGAGTGAGGTACCTCCAAAACAACCCCTATTTCCAACTCCACCCATCAACCTCTGCCAGGGCTGTTCTTACCTTTTCCACATTTTCCCCGTGTTTTACGTATCCGCGTATAGCAAATGTCGCGCGGGTTTCTAGGAATTGCCACCGTTCGCTGGCCTTCGGTGGGATCTTTTCGGAAAAAAAAAAAAAAAAAAAAAAAAAAACCGACGATGCAACGACGTTAACTTCATAGCGTCGCGACGCTCACTTGATCCTCTTCGTTTACAATTCCCTTTTTCTTCCCTTTGACGACGGTCGCGCTTGACGCGAATCGACTGGAGGGAGGTCATTGACCTGCAAGGGAGTCGAAAAGTCAAAAAAAAAAAAGAAATAGAAAGGAAAGAGAAAATATTGGCTCGAAGAGAGAGAGAGAGAGAGAAAAAAAATAAAAGCGTACAAGAATAATAAACTGGGGATGAAGTTATCCGATGCTCTCTATGGGCGACGTAGAACAGAGACGAAAGAATGAAAGACGCCTAGGGGTGCGAGGACACCTCGTGAGAATATCCCCTGTAATTTCGTTCTTGCGCAATTTCCAAAATTCACCCCCTCCGTGCCCGCGAGCTAAGCAGCCATCGGTATCGCACGTCGTCACGTCAGCCGACTCCTTTACACAGTCTCTTACGTGTCCAGAGCCTCCCTCTCCCTTCCACCCCTAATATTCACCCCTTGGAACCAACCCCCCCCC